GCTCCTACTGATATTTTGCTGAACGGTCCTAGTTGGAAAAGACAAATCCCATTCTCCAGAGAGTCATACCACGAACGCCCCAGTCAGATTCCGATGCAGACAAAAAAGCCAGTTTTCCGACACAAATATCTGTATACGATTTTATTGCATTTTGAAAATACAGAAACCAAGGCAATTCATTATCACAGCATCTGATAATCGAGATTACAGCTGGAAAGTTGTCGATCCAAAGTCGCATGCTGACCAAGGACACGCTGGCTGACGCCGCAAGCACCTGGCTTCCGACCAGTACAAGGCCATGATTTTGATAAAACGAATCGCACAAAAACTTAATGCTGTCTACGATCAATCTAAGGAAAAAAGGGCTGAAAACAAGCAGGTAGAAATACTCTTTTGTACTGAGACATCGAAACGACTCATACTGGCTGGGGTATGAAAACATACAAAAAAAAAACCTTGAGCTAGGGATGTAAGAAAATTTGTTGTGGACGTAAATTTAAAAAGGCGCGAAATTTTACTAGAATGGTGTAAAAATCAGCTGGTAATCCCCAAACTGCGTCAAAAGGTGAACTTGTTCCAACAAATCTATTGAGGTAGAAACTGTCAAAAAAATTTTACAAAATGGGAGCGCTGGACTGGGTTCTGGTCTCTTCTATTAGAAGAGCTCAGTACACTAAGAATGTTATATTTACTAAATTTACTACATACCATACACACAGAAGACCAATCTCGCCAATAATTTGATGAATTAATGCATTCCCGATAGCTATCTCACTTTCCTCCCAACCAGGATTCGCAAAAAATACGCCGTCACCACTGCTCAGCAAATTTCATCCTAATTTGACGCAATACCCACTGTTACTTTGTTGATTCCTAGAGTGGCCCACCAACTTTACAGCTGGCAACTTTTCCAATTGCTTCGATCAGCAGTGCGCTGTCCGGTGGTCAGCCAGTTGGCGAACCTGACGTTCGTTCCGTCGCGTTTTATACATAAGCCACGCAAGGTTGCTGGACGAACAAAATGTAAAAAAACAAGAATTCT